CGAACAGCGTCTTAACTTCGCTCAGGAAGTCGTCGCAGCAGCCGTCCACACTGTTGAGGGCGTCCATGACGACGTCCTTCATAACGGTCTCGACATCCGGCTTGATGGTGCCATCGAACAAGGTGCAGATGCTTGACCAACCGTCCGCAGTGCTGAGATCTCCGCCAAAGTTCTCGAGAACGGAGAGACTGTTCTTCACGGCGGAGGAGCTGGCGAGTGACGTGTAGACGGCCTTGGGGTCGATGGCGGCGATGCACTTGGACAGCCAAGGAAGGGCCGTGTCGATCTCCTTGAAGACGGTGGGGAAGTCGATTGAAGTCAAGTCTGTTTCGGTCCAGGACGAAAGGGACTTGGCCAGCGTGCTGTCGGAATCAAGCAGCGTCTTGCACGATGAAGCTTCAGCTACCCCATGTGTGGCGAGGAGGTACGCCATCAGGGGCGTGAACCGAGACGCGTAGAGACGCATGCCTGTGGGGCGCTGGAAGTTTTGGTTGGCTGGTTGAGGGTGGGAAGGCAATTGCAAACTGACCATTCTGCTTTGCCAGGTAGCTTCGCACTCTTCATCAGCCCACGCACAATGCTATCAGTACCGCCCAGGTGCTCCTAAATTAGCATTATGGGCTGTGTCCCAAGCTATTTAGCTGTGGCAAGGCATAAAGATCAGAACCAGAGGTGTGTCCCAAGCTATTTAGCTGTGGCATGGCATAAAGATCAGAACCAGAGGTGGCACGGGGATATGTAGTCTTTGATCTCCAATCTTAGATCTCAAATTCATAGGACAGCAGCTGGTCCAACTGGTTTGCGGGCTTTGGCCCGCGGTGTTCGCAGCTCGGTCGCTTTTTTTACTGTATCCCAAAACCTGTAGAGGTAGAAAACTTTATTTACTACTACACCTTTGCCCAGCCTACTTCACGTCAGGTTCTTGTCAGTTCCGACAACTTGGATTGGGGATTAGACGACTTCGCTTGCACTAAGGAGAGTGGTACCCCTTAATTCGGGTACCTCGCAAAATAAAAGCTGAAAACTTTGGATGCGGATTAGACAACTAAGGCTGGGCAAAGGTGTAGTAGTAAATAAAGTTTTCTACCTCTACAGGTTTTGGGATACAGTAAAAAAAGCGACCGAGCTGCGAACACCGCGGGCCAAAGCCCGCAAACCAGTTGGACCAGCTGCTGTCCTATGAATTTGAGATCTAAGATTGGAGATCAAAGACTACATATCCCCGTGCCACCTCTGGTTCTGATCTTTATGCCATGCCACAGCTAAATAGCTTGGGACACACCTCTGGTTCTGATCTTTATGCCTTGCCACAGCTAAATAGCTTGGGACACAGCCCATAATGCTAATTTAGGAGCACCTGGGCGGTACTGATAGCATTGTGCGTGGGCTGATGAAGAGTGCGAAGCTACCTGGCAAAGCAGAATGGTCAGTTTGCAATTGCCTTCCCACCCTCAACCAGCCAACCAAAACTTCCAGCGCCCCACAGGCATGCGTCTCTACGCGTCTCGGTTCACGCCCCTGATGGCGTACCTCCTCGCCACACATGGGGTAGCTGAAGCTTCATCGTGCAAGACGCTGCTTGATTCCGACAGCACGCTGGCCAAGTCCCTTTCGTCCTGGACCGAAACAGACTTGACTTCAATCGACTTCCCCACCGTCTTCAAGGAGATCGACACGGCCCTTCCTTGGCTGTCCAAGTGCATCGCCGCCATCGACCCCAAGGCCGTCTACACGTCACTCGCCAGCTCCTCCGCCGTGAAGAACAGTCTCTCCGTTCTCGAGAACTTTGGCGGAGATCTCAGCACTGCGGACGGTTGGTCAAGCATCTGCACCTTGTTCGATGGCACCATCAAGCCGGATGTCGAGACCGTTATGAAGGACGTCGTCATGGACGCCCTCAACAGTGTGGACGGCTGCTGCGACGACTTCCTGAGCGAAGTTAAGACGCTGTTCGGTGGGGACGCGCTCGACGACATGGTGACGAAGCTTCTGGAGCTTGGTCTCAACACCGAATGCAGCGAGAGGACGTACACGAACCTGAAAGGCACGTCGACCAAAGAAGTCTGCGGCTACTCCATCTACAAGTCCTTCACTTTCATCGAGACGGACGACGATACTGTCTCGCTGTTGAACCTCGCCCAAATCCCCAACGACCAGATATGCGACGCGTTCGCCGGCAAGGCCTTCACCAACACCAAGGGCGCCTCGACCACGATCGGCTTCGGCACTAACGGTGCGGACGCCATGGGCATCTGCCTCGAGCCCATTGACACGGCGATGCAGTACTTCAAGTCTTGGGGGATCTTCTCGGAGGCCGTCGACGCCGACGGTACGAGCGTGTCGCTCTCCGACCTCTTCACCTCGGGCAAGTCGATCCGTGGCAACTTGCTGTTGGATTATGCCGCCTCAGAGTTGGGCCTGCCGCGGATGGGACTACGAGCCACCGAAAAGGTGCTCTTCGCACTGGGCGCCGTCTCCACCGACGACGGTGACAGTGAGACCTTCCTTCAGGACGGATTCGTGGAGATCCTGGACGGCATGAACTCATACGCCAAAGCGCTGCTGCTGCACGTCCCGAACAACGGCAGCTGCACCTTCTCGGACCAGTCGATCACGCTGCCGTACGCGGAAGCTGCATCTTCGGTGAGCACTGGCACCAGTGCGGCCTCGTCGGTCAAGCTGTCGGGTGTAATGACTGCGAGTGCGGTGCTGGCCTCGTCGCTCCTCGTGAGTGTGCTGCTTTAATCTAGGCCTTCAGCACCCAGCGGAACAAAAGTAATTCTAAAGAGTGCTCAAATAATCAAGCCGCAAGTATAAATACAAATACAGCGCGATGGGCAGTTCCATAGCTCTGCACTGCTTTCGAGGTATTCGGATACAAAGCCGTCCGGACTTGAGGCAGTGAAGCATTTGTTACATGTATTTATTTAATACATGCATAAAGGAACTGTACAGTAGGCTGGGCAAAGATGTAGTAGTACTATGTAGTAATAGCTGTAGAGGAGCGGTGAGTGAAGAAGTTCTTGAATTTAGCACATGCTCTAATTTTTGTATTGTGAAGTACCATGCGTCCAATTGCTGGGTCGCTTACGCTGCTCGATCTGCCGTGGCGGATTTACATGAACTCACACTACAGATATTCATGCTGCATACTTGCACAGCTTCAAGCTGCCAGACTGAACTTCAGTTCATGTTGAATGTATAATTTGTTTATTTTTCTCGGGTTATCGGGGCTATATGTCCAATTGTGACGTCTGCAACTTGATTTTGTAGAATTGCTATACTGACTTCCACGCCGTTTAGCTCTCCTCACTTCGAAATCGACTCGCAACAAACAGTCTGCACCCACTATCATTAATCAATAGCGATAATTTTGTTTACTCAACGACGGTTTATCATTGCTGCTGCTGTGGCATCCGACATGTACATGTAGATATCGTATCGTAGAAATGACAGTCACTTGTCTAAACTAACTTAGCCGATACGACGACGACCCTGCTCGCTTGCTGCTCCGATACGGTCGATTCTTCGCAGATTACATTGATTGACTGATCACCCCTCTTTATTATTGCTGCTGTCTGGTTAGCTTATCGCCGAAAGCATGCTCTGAGCTCAAATGAATCGGAGTTTGCGCTGCTATGCTGTAATATAATTGCTGTAGAACTGTCATTGCTGTTGTTTCAAATGGCTTTTTAACCGATAATGCAACATAAAAACTTATGTTGCATTATCTCAAACATCCGCAGGGGCGCAAACGACAGTTCTTAGAACTTGCCTGAAAAGGAAGTGCAACGAAACGAGGCACTTGTGTAGGAGTTGTACGTTCATTCTCTCAGTGATATCTATGGATTTTAATCTGGAAGGATAGTACTAGAATATTTTTTGAAATATTCTAGTACTACTTCCAGATTACTTTTAGATATTTATTTTAAAAAAATAGTGAGTGGAAATACACTGTACATTGTACAGGTTACATTGATAAATACATTTTTATATTATTCAACTACCTATGTATGCAGTGCATGAAGTCAACTTGGAGGAGATGACCAGCTTGGGAGGTGCAGTCATTTTGAGAACCGTCAAGGTTTGGCCCCCGCCTTACAAACACACTGCCCCCTCCCCCCGCCAGAAATTGCAAGATTGTCTACTACAATGTCAAGAGCACCCGATATTGCCTAGGAGGTCGGAATAGCATTCTCTCGTCTAAGGCCAAGGAAGGAGTATAATGAGCTGTATGATCGCCTACAGCTGATAAAATTGTGCGCTGCACGAATCCATCTTTCGTCCCGGCCTTCTTACCGAGTTCTCAGAACGACTAGAACGAAGAAGAAGAGTTCGATGGAGTGCGCGATACGAGCTGGTTTGCGCTAGTATAGCATTGGAACGAAACCAGATTCACTTTACCGGGTACGCATTACGAAAACGGGTCCGGTCTGCTAAAAATTGCTCTCCGTATTGCGTAAAGATAGGATCTTATCTGTAACGGGCTAACTGCAGCCCGTTACGTGGTTACACGAGCAGAGGAAGTAGTAGGCAAATTGAACTCTGGTATTAAGTGCCGAGACGGTCTCGGCACTCGAGACCGTCCCAGCCATTAAACCTATGGTGGGCTCTGATTGGCCACCGCGCACACACGGTGGCGCCTGTGTGACAGTGGCCTGTCACACCACCCCCTACTCAAGATTGGAACATACACATATCTAAACTCTAGAAAGGGACTGCAGAGCTTCGCGAGGCGGACGTGATGCTACTTGGCAAGCGCGGGCCGACAGCGCGCGAAGTGAGTGAAGCAGCGCAGCAGTGTCTCGGTCGTCATCAAGGGCCGGCTGCAGCGCGACCGCAGCAGCAGCGTGGGCTTCAACGGAGCGATCTTGGTGCAGCAGAGCTATTTCATTCAGTTTGCAGGTAAGGTATACTGTGCTCATTCAGTACTATGTTGTGTGCTAACGATCAGACGAGAGAGCTACGGAATGAAGGAGAGATGCATGGTGCGCTGGTCTTGACGTTTTAACTTGAGGGTAAATTGCGGAAGGAGAAATACGTTAATGTGCCAAGTCCTTGGAAGTGGGCACTTCAACGCAGGTAAAGGAAGCCTAATTCAAACGAACGATGCTCGTGTCACTGTCGAGTTGAGCTGGTTGGTTTGGCGAGAGACACGAGGTTGGGCATCTTCGGCTAAGCGATTGAGTATTGAGCAAATTGACATGTAAAAAATGCAGCCTGCAGCTAGACAAGTCATATTGGTCATCTTCAGCTAAGCTTGGTCGATTATGGCGCAAATTGATACGCCTTCAGCGAGGCCATGACGCTCTCATAGTGTACTGGAGCGTCCGTAAGTGTTTGAACGCAGGTTTTTGGTCAAGAATGAACGATTAGTATCAACCTTTGGTAAATAATGTGTATAAATTTTAACGGGTACCCGATTCCGGCAGATATTACCTTAAACATTACAATTAAGAAAGAGAGACCCGGTTTGGTACCCGGTTTTGGAAAGTTACAAGTTTTTTGCCGGGGCCAAGCACAGGTCTTCGACTTGTGAACATTTTAAAATTCCAGCAGCGACTCTGGAGTACTGTAACACATTATTGTGTACCATGTGTACACATGCACATACGGTAGCAGCTGTACCTTTTAATTGTGACAAAATTTCTTGAAGCAGGTACATGTACATCTAAGGTGCATTTCACGCAATCTCTGTTGACTATTTTGGCTGAGCCATCTGGCGGACAATCATATGTATGTGGTTATCATCTGACCTTCAATTGACACGTACGCTGGCGTGGCATGAAGCGAGTCCGTCGCGGTGGTACCCACCGTGACTCCACCGTGGGTCAGGTCGCCGCGAATCCTGGAACACCGAAGGTTGTCCGTCGTCTGAAGTCGAGCATCGCCGCTGGGCTGTCCGTTCTTGCGAGGCTCTCGTTGAGTTAGGCACGACTCGCCGCCGCGCCCTCTGCAAGCGACGTCTCGTACGCCGCCACGCAATCGGGGACATCTGCGAGTAGGACCTCGCGTGGCTCCCAGCTGTCGTCCATCGGGCCAAGCCATCGAACCAGATACCGGCGGTGCGAGGGTATCTCTCCATCGCGGCGACGAGTGCCGCGATCCATGCGTGCGCGCTGCGGTGCATCTCGGTGGTCGTCGTGGTTGAGAATGGCTTCGACAATGTGACGCTGGTTCCCAGCAGCGTCCACTAGGGGAGCAGGACCGTCGCGCTGGAATGCAGATGCCCGAACCTCGGGCTGACGCTGCGATGGCGCAGCGTCTTGATCGACTTGGGCATGGTCATCGGCGCCACCGGGAATGGCGGCGGGATGGTATCGTCGCAGTCGGCCAACGTAGAACGTAGGGTGCAGCCGGAGTGCCGTATGGAGCTGCAGCGTGTAGGCGTCGCCGAGTACCTTCGTCACTTTAAAAGGTCCAATAAAGCGGGCGCGAGCTTGTTCGCGCCCAAGTTCGTCACCAAACTTGGCGACATGCCCGTCGTAGAGAGCAGTACCCGATCGCCCACGGCGAACGTCTCCAGATGTCGTCGCCCTCGTCGATCGGCATATTCCTTTTGCCGGTCCACCGCCGCCGCGATGGTGTCGCGTACATAACGCACAACCGACTCACGTTTCTGCAGGAAGTCGCGGACAGCCGCGGCAGGTGTCGCCGCCTCTTGCGCGTCTTGATACTTGACGGCCCGACGTGGTATCGGGTCAATCAGCGTGCGCGAAGTCCAAACTGCGATGTCCGAAGGTGCCGCCCTCCTAGCGGCACGTGTGCGCGAAGCTCGTTCGGGGTTGGCGCGTGGTCTCTCGTGTGCCGCCCGCGTGGCGGCACGTGTGCGCACTCCGACTGCTGGAGCGTTAGAGCCTCGACGAGTGGTGACGCCATGTAACAACGCGGAGACAGCGTCGGGTACGGGGCCACGACGCTCAGCTTGGCCTGGGTCGGGGTCTACAGCAATGTCTTCATCCGGAACGAGTGACGCGAGATCGCCCGCGTCTTCAGCAGCGCGACCAGCCGGAGTCTCAGAGCGCTCCACACCAAGGAGCGCTGGAACGTGAGGATGGCGACCGAAGTTGACGAAGAACGGGGACAGCCCGGTCGATGCGTGGACAGCGTTGTTGAGGGCGAATTCGACCAGGGGCAGGAAGGTGCTCCACGACTTGAACGACGTAGCGAAGCTGCGTAGTATGTCTTCAACAACACGGTTGGCGCGCTCAGTTTGGTCGTCTGTCTCCGGATGCGACGCGGAGGACATGCACAACCGCGTCCCCAGCAACTGAAAAAGCTCTCGCCAGAAAGAAGACGTAAAGCGAGGGTCGCGATCCGATAGGATGGAGAACGGAAGCCCGTGGTGGCGGTACACCACGTCCACGAAGATCGCGGCGGTTTGCTTCGCCGTGATGCTGGCAGCAACAGGAGCAAGATGGAGCATCTTGCTGAACCGATCAACGAAGACAAGCACGCCAGTGCGCCCTTGAGTGTCTCGGGGAAGCCCGAAGACGAAGTCCATGCTGACAGACGCCCATGCGTCTGTGGCGACTGGGACAGATCGAAGCGGAGCCTGCTTGGACGGATTCGGCTTCACGCGCTGGCACGCTTCGCAGGAGCGTACTCATTTCCGGACCCACTTGTACATATGCGGCCAGTAGAAGTCTCTGGACAGCGACGCGAACGTCATCTCGCGTCCGAGGTGTCCGCCGCTCGGCGTGTCATGGAACTCGTGGATCAGCCGAGCTCGGAGATCGTCGTCCAGAGGAACGACGATGCGCGGGGGATCTTCACAGTCGACGCGGTACGTGAGCAACGCGCCGTCCAGCGAGTAGCGGTCGACGCGGGAGCGGCTGCGTGGAGACAGCTTGCGCTTCGCCTCGGCACCAGGGTCTCCCAGGAACTGGATCAGCTCCAAGCAGGACGCGTCCTCCTTGTACGCGTCCACGATCAAGTCACGGAGCGGACTGGTCGCTGCAACCTCAACAGCAGCGACGTCTTCGGCAGTGCATACGGCGCATTCGTCCTCGTTCTCGTCGCCAACTGCGTGGCGACCTGACTGCACGTAGTCAGGCCGACGCGATAACGCGTCGGCAAGGATGTTGGTCTTGCCCGGCTTGTAGTGCACGACGAAATTGTACTCGGAGAACAGGGACAACCAGCGCGCCATGCGCTGGGACAAGTGGGGGCTCTTCGTCGCTGTCCTCAACGACGCGTGATCGGTGTAGATCGCGAAGGTCTGTTCGCCGAGGAGATACACGCGAAACTTGATGAGGGCGTAGCGCATGGCCAGCAGCTCCTTATCATGGACCGGATAATTCCCTTCCGCCGGCTTCAGCTGACGCGACTGGTAGCTGATGACCCGCTCGCGTCCTTCGTCATCGAACTGCATCAAGGCGCATCCGATCGCGAAGTCGCTCGCGTCGCACACGACATGGAAGGGCTTCGAGTGGTCTGGAAGCATGAGCACAGGCGCGGTGGACAAGCTCGACTTCACCGCGTCGAAGGCAGCTTGGTGCTCGGGATGCCACGACCACGTGGCGTCTGCCTTGAGGAGTTGAGATAGCGGGCGGATCGTCGAAGCGAAGTTCTTCGAGTAATGGGAAGATACGTGGCGAGCCCCAGCCACTGCCGGAGCTGCTTCTGGTCCTGCGGCGTCGGCCACGCGCAGATTGCCTCGATCTTCTCGGGGTCGGCGCGGACACCGTCCTTGCTGACGTAGCTCCCGAGCACTGGGATCTCGGGAGCGCAGAAGATGCACTTCTTCAAGTTGGCGTACAGCTTGTTTTCCTTCATCACCTTGAACACCTTGCGCAGGTGTTGTAGGAGGACCTCAACGTCCGTCATGCCGTCCTCGGCACGACTGTGAATGAAGATGTCGTCGAAGTAGCTGGGCGCGAAGTCTCGGTACGGCCGAAGCAAGTTGGACACCATCCGGTTGAAGGTGGCGGGGGCGTTCTTGAGCCCCTGCGGCATCACGAGCCATTCCCACAACATCCCGCTGGGCGTGCTGACCGCTGTCAGCGGCACATCGTCTTCGCGCATCAAGATCTGATAGAAGCCATCCATCAGATCAATGGCACTGTACTTCGTGCTGCCGGACATGGTGTCCAGCACCATGTCCTTCCTCGGGATCGGCGTTTGCGCAGGTATGGTGGCCTCGTTGAGCTTGTTGAAGGCGTGGACGATTCTCAGCCGCCGGTTGCTTTCTTCACGCAGAACGTCGGACTGGAGTGCGGCGAGAGACTCTCGCGAACGTGGCCGGCTTGCCGGCGACTCTCGAAGAAGGCGTCAATGGCTTCGACTTGGTCGCGAGGAAGCGGCCACTGCCGCGTCACGCAGTACTTCGCACCGGGCACGAGGTCAATCTCGTGTCGAACACCGCGGTCGGGTGGAAGAACGGCTGGAACCTTGTCCGGGAAAATCTCCATGAACTCGCGCACGAGCGGAGCGACTGGGTTGCCGGCCGCTTCGAGCGCCGGCAACGACTGAGCTGCGTAGCGGGCTTGACGGGCGTTCTTCGGCTCGGCTCCTTTTGGGCGCGTCCTGGCGTCGGAAGCTGGGTCCGACGCACTGGTTGCGACGGCCGCAATTGACTCGGCATCTTCGGCGACGATCATGCACACCTGCTCGATCTCGCCCTTCTTCAGGTCACGGAGGAAGTTTTTCCACGAGAGCCCAGGCAGCCGAGTGATCTCGGCGGCGTCGCACGGTGGACGTGCGACTTCGACGTTGCGTACACGCGGAGGCGCCTCCGCGTCGTCCCCCACCAGGACTGAGATCACTTCAGCCTCAGCCTCAACTGAGTCCGCCGAAGGCGTACGAGGACGGCGCGGGTTGCGACGTCCGCGACGTCGAACCGGACGTGAGTGTTGTCCGAAGCTGCCGATGAGAGCCCATGCTCGATCACGACCGCTGAACTGGGGCGCCGGGGCACAACGTCGGCGCCTGGACGCGGGTCATTGGACACGACCGCGTCGACTTCATCAGGGAGCTCCCGCTCGACCACACGCGGGAACCCATGCTCGACCGCGTGTGGGAGACCACGCTCAACCGCATCTTCTTCTTCAGGGAGCTCCCGCGAGTGGTCGAGCGGGAACCCATGCTCGACTGCGTGTGGGAGGCCACGCTCAACCACATCTTCTCGCTCTTCAACGTTGGAGAGCCGCTGCTCGCCCTGACGTGGCTCGACCACGTCATTGTCTGCTTCCGAGAACCGCTGCTCGTCGGGACGTGGGAACCCATGCTCGACCACGTCAGACACGTCCTGAGGCTCCTGCTCAGGACCGACGCAGGTTGCGAGATCGCACACCGCACACGAAGGGCCATCGCTCGCTTCGTACGCAGCATGGGTCATGGAGTCGGGGTCCAAGACGGCAACATGCGGTCACTGGTTAGGTGTTCCGCAAGGAACGCCAATACTGCATTCACATCAATGACCCGGGGGCGGACTGTGCCACTCAGCCAGTTGATCTCAGACTGGTGGCGAGCGAGCCACGGGATGCCGAAGCCACAGTCGAACGAGCCGCTCAGCTCGATCACCAAGAACTCCTCGGAACTGTGGAACTCGTCGAACGCGTACGCGAAGGTCGCCAAGCGCCGCGGCGTCCGCCGCGGCTTCCCATCAGCGTACTTCACGATTATGTCGCCAGGCCCGTCGCGAATGTCCAAGTCCACCGGTAACACCGACAAGCTCTCGGTGCGAACGAAGTTGTTCGTTGCGCCCGAGTCCAGCAGCGCGCGAAGAGGGCGCGTCGCGCCGTCAACGTGGAGGCTAAGCACAATCAGCCTCGTGTCACTGCCGGAGGTGGTGGCAAAGAGTTGTGCATGAAGCACGGGAGGGCTAGGAGGAGGTTCTGCCACCAGAGAACCATCGCTCCTTCCACGACCAGTAGGGCGCCCCGCACCTACTGGTTGTCGCCGTTTTTTGGAGCGGCAACGTTGCTCGCGACCGTGACGTTCGCCTGCATCGGCACCGGAGCGCGGCAAATAGCCGCGCGATGTCCAGGTTTCCCACAGCGGTAGCAGCGCATCGGGCGGGGACTGCGCGTTGACGAGGCCGTTGGCGGCCTTGCTGATGACGTCGGCACCCGACGTCCACCGAGCTGTTGAATCGCATCCACCTCCATCGGCTCCGGCTCGGGCACCGGAGCCCGAGAGACATCGAAAGCCTGCGACGCCGTCACACTGTAGTCTTCACGGAGCGCAACAGCGAAGGCCTCTTCGAGTGTCGGTGGGGTCTTCCGGGTCAGGTAGAAGCGCTGGTAGCCAGCGCTCATGCCGGAGATGAAGACGTGGACTTGGGTCGCCATGTCTACGGGATGCGTCGTGATGCACGACACAAGGTGTCGTGCGCGCCGGATGTACTCGAGCATGGACATGCGTCCTTGCTTCAATGCCGGAGCGCTGAACGCTTTCATCTTGGGGCGGCTCGAACGCGAGCCGCAAGTCCGCCTTCATCGATGCCATGGTCGGGAAGCAGGAAGCGTCGGCCACGAGCTTGCCGAGCGCCCACTCCTTCGCCTTCCCCGCCAGCTTGGACAGGAGAAAGCGCGTGCGCGCGAGCTCGGTAGACAGCTGCCGAGCTTCGATCGCGATGTCCACCTCGCAGAACGAGCGGTTCAGGTGAAGGCGGCCCTCGCCTTCACCGCTGTACGTGGATACATCGAGTTTCACGATGTCGGACTTGTTCTTGGTCAGCGTGGGAGTCGACACTCGCTGACGGAGGTCAGCGAGTTCACGCGCCATGAACTCCGGGGCGGCCAGGCGTTGTTGTTCCTCGGTTCCCGCCGTCAGTAGTGTCTTGATCACAGCGTCACCAGACACCGCTGCGAGGCGGTGTAGCGCCTCCCACTCGATCGCCGACAGGTGAGGAAAGCTGGCGTGCTCCAGTGAAGTGGCAGTCGTCCGGGACGCGTCAGGCATCGACGTGTCGTTCATGTTCATCACGATCTTGGGCGTTGGACGGATTAGCGAAGTGCTACCAGGTGTAACGGGCTAACTGCAGCCCGTTACGTGGTTACACAAGCAGAGGAAGTAGTAGGCAAATTGAACTCTGGTATTAAGTGCCGAGACGGTCTCGGCACTCGAGATCGTCCCAGCCATTAAGCCTATGGTGGGCTCTGATTGGCCACCGCGCACACACGGTGGCGCCTGCGTGACAGTGGCCTGTCACGTTATCAGCATAATGGTATAATAGCTGTGTGTACTTCATGGGATGCTTCAGATAAGGACCTTGGGATGGTTTGCACTTGCTTGCACTTGAATTCGTGCTGCGAACAGTTCGCAACCTGCTGCGCTAGTAACAACGGACCCCAAGACATCGCCCCCAATCGACAATGCGTCTCCGCTCGCATTTGCACCGACTACTTAGTCTCGCGATCAACTGAAGCTGGAACGTGCAAAACCCTTGCTGATCCCTCCAGTGCGGCTCTCCAATCGCTCGCGTTGATGTTGAACGTTGACTCCACATCGATTCCCATCGAGTCATTCACGGAAATCCACGAAGCCTTCCCTTGGATGTCCAAGTGTTTCGCAGCCATCGACCCTTTAGCAGTCTTCGCCTCGCTGATTCAGTCTACTCAGGGGTGCCTGTCGACTGCCGAAGATATCGATCTCAGTCCTATGACCACGCGTAAGGCATCGAGCGCCTGTACTACACTTCAAGAGAACGTCGTCCCGTGCATCCAGACTCTCCCTCATGGCTGCTCTTGATAGCACCAGCACGTGCTGCGACGACTTTCTCACTCAAATCAAGTCGCTCTTCGGTGATTCGCTCGACGACATGGTCACCATGCTGCTTCAACTCGGTACCAAGGCCATGTGCTCGCAGAGGACCTACACAAACGTGAAAGGCGTTTCAACGACGGAGTTTTGTGGCTACGTCGTCATCAAATCTTTTGAGGAAATCGAGTCGCAAAACGCTGTTGCCACGATATTGAGCTTGTTCCAGATCCCAAGCAACCAAATGTGCAAGGCCATGGAAGGGAAATCGTTCACCACCACCGAAGGCGGCTCTGCTAGAATTGAGTTTAATACTGAAGACTACGACACAATGGGCATTTGCGTGCAGCCGGTAGACAACTTGATCCAGTACATCGCGTCTTGGCCGATCTTCTCGCTTACCTTCGATGCCAACGGAACTGACATCACACTGGCGAACCTGTTCAAGTCGGGCAAGTCGGTCCGCGGTGACTTGATCTTGTCGTACATGGCGACGCTGACCAATCTGCCACTGATCTTACTCCGAGCGCTGGACAGTTTAGCGCAGGAGCTAGGTGGTGGAGGTAGTTCGTACAGTTTGGAGACAGCGGACGGATCGAACACGGAAGGCCCGACATCTCGGCCAGTGTAGGGGATTCCGGAAGCTGGGGCGACTCGAGCAGCTCGATAGTGGACTCGTTCCTGGAACTCATCAACACACTCAGTTACTTCGCCGACATGAGCGTGCACATCCCGAACGACGGTGGCTGCACCTACGCCGACCAGTCTCTTTCGGATCCTTCAACCGGCTCAGCATCGTCATCAGGCTCCTCGGCGACGACTACAACCGCTACGGATACGAGCGCTGCTTCTGCGCTGAAGCCGGCGGTCATGGCGGGTATCGGTGCGGCGCTCCTCTTGATGGCACAGCTATAGGCGAATGCCTCAAACCACGTGTAGCTGTTAAAGTAGCCTCTCGAAATTACTTTAGAGCCCTAACTAGCACGTTAATTTGATAAATGCTGAAATGACCAATAAACGCTGTACTTGCTGCTCGCTCGAATAGCACCAGACCTTCCCTGCGAAGCCTTCACGACGGATGATGATGGTGATATATAACACGAATGATTTCCCACTACAGTACAATTTTCTTCGTCTACCTGTAGTAAAGGCCGCTGTACCTTGGCCGGGCATAAAAAAAAGCTCGGGGTTTCTAAAGCCCGAACAACAGCTGACATTTACCTACAACAGACGTACTGTGCATTCTCGCTCGGCTGCAAGCAGAACCAGAAAAATGAAACGTCACTGCATTAACAAGACTTAATACCAGAACACACAACAGGCTTGAACGCGATACGAGCACACACAAACATGACCTCAACATCTACAGGACGATGCTCGCGAGACACGAGAGCATTGCCAGCCCCATGCTCGAGGACAGAGTCGACGCACCAGCTGCACCCGACGACTGGGTCGACACGGTAGTGGTCCCACTTGGAGCCATCGTCACTGCTGTGGCGACGGTATCGATCGCCGAAACCTTTCTCACATCGAACGGCACCGAGATCGTTTCACCCACGAACGTGCATTCGCCGCCGTTCGGGACATGCAGAAGCATCGGACCGATGCCAGCTACCAGGCGCTCCAACAGCACGTAAACCAAGTCCTGACCGCCGTCACGCGAAGAGCTCGTGTAGCTGCCGTATCCGACGTAGTAGTATCCATAACCGACATCACCGCTCGAGTCCCGACTGCCGCTTTCGGAGTAGTTAAAGTCGATGTAGCCAACCCAGCCAAAACTTCCGGAAAAGTTGAAGGCATCACCAACACTGCCGTCCGAGCCGTAGCTTCCCGCGGGGTACTTGTAGCCGTTGTAGTCGTTGTAGTCGTCGTAGTAACCCGACGAATCTGACGAGTAGCGGGCCGACCAGAATTCACGCACGGTACTCACGTACTTCTCCATCGTGTGCTGTACGATCGCGACAAAGTTCTTGGGCGTGTTGAACCAGCTCTTTAGCGTCGCATAGCTGAGCGACTTTCCCGTAGCGAACAAACTCGACGGCGAGAAGGAAGTTCCGTTGGCGTTCCAGGTCTGCGCGAAGAGCGGCCACGACGCCACGTATCCGAGCAGCGCGTCGATCGGCTGGAGGCAAATACCCATCGGGTCCGCTCCCTTGGTACCGAATCCGATCGTGAACTCGCTGCCGTTGGTGATCTTGAAGGCCTTGCCGGCAAAGGCGTCACACATTTCAGTGTTCGGAAGCTGCAGCAGACCCAGCAGGGGCACGACGTCGTCTTCACTGTCGGTGAAGCCGAACGCCTTGGCGATGGAGTATCCGCACATCTCCGTGGTTGCTTTGCCCTGCGAGTTCGTGAACTTGCGCTCCGAACACGCGATGTTCACTGCGTACTGGCTCAGCTTCTCCACCATAGTCGTCAGTGAGTTGGAGATGAGCGTGTCGACTTGAGCCAGGAACGCATCGCAGCAGCCGTTGGTGGTGGCGAACGCGTCCATGACGATCTCGACCATGGCGTTCTTCACACACGGGACGCCGGTGTCTTTGAGCAGAGGGCAGAGCGTGTTCCAGCCTCCCCGACTCAAGAGACCGTCGTCGAGATTGGCCCGCTCGAACTTGCGTACGCAGGAGCGAAAACTCGAAGAGGTTTGCATCGACGCGTAGACTGCCACCGGATCGATGGCTGCCGCGCACGTGGACAGCCAGGGTGCGGCATTGTGGAGGTCGGAGAAAACCGCGTCAAACGGGAACTCGGAGAAGTCATCTTGATACGCGGTGGCGAGAGACTTGACCAGCGCGCTGTCATTGTCGAGCAGGGTCTTGCAGGTTTTGGCGTCAGCGACGTGCTGTGCACTGAATGCCAAGACGATGGTTGGGAGGAGGAATCGGTGGAGCTGCATGATGAGCTTGATCATTGAGGGGCCGAAAGGCCGAAGTCGGCGCGGGCGCCTGAAAAGGCGGTGAGGTGCTTGGGTTGTTTCTTCAGAGAGTAAATTTCAGAGTGAAAGAATCCTAGAGAGGATGCTGTTGCCGCCGTCGAGGACGAGGAGGCCAACTTCTGCTTCTTCGTCGTCGTCCTCGAAACATGGTATCACGGTATCTGAGCGTGCAATTGGCATGCAGCAGTCGTTGAAGTGGTTTCAAGATGGCGCTACGTTTCTCTTTCTTACAAGACACAAGGCATTATGCACTAAGACCTAAACTTTTCGGCATAGGACACTAGGAAGCATTGTAGCTGCACCTTGCTATTTATTTATACAAGAAAAAAAACAATGATCAAAACCATTTAGGATGTCAACATGGGCAAGTGCACGTAGTCCAAACTGGCATGAGACCGAAGTGTACGATCCCATGGTCTGATGCCTGGGCGAAATAGATTGCAGCCAGACAATACAGGCAAGCTGCTCAACTATTTTGAGGACCTGTAAAGCGCATGATGGCGTTGAATGCCTCCGCTTGTGTTGAAGTGAGAGACACCACATCAGCGAGTACCAACTCCGACACAAACTCAGTTTTCAATTCGCCTCCCCAACAACCAACCAGCCAGCCAGCCAGCCAAAACCAAGTCATGCGTCTGTACGCCTCTCGCTTCCGCGCCCTCGTCGTCCTCCTCCTCGCCATCAGCTCCCACCGCGCCAAAGCTTCAACATGCAGGACTCTGCTTGATTCCGACAGTACCCTGGCCCAGTCGCTTGCATCCTGGACCGAAACCGACTTGTCGCCGGTCGACTTCGCCACCGTCTTCAAGGAGATCAACACAGCGCTACCGACACTGTCTATGTGCGCTGCCGCCATCGACCCCAAGGCGATCTACACGTCACTCGTCAGCTCCTCCACGGTCAATTGAAGACATTGACGAAGACCTCGGCACCTCGGAGGGCTGGTCCAACTTCTGCTCCGTGCTCGAAGACACCATCATGCCGTGTGCCAAGACTGTCATGACCGACATCGTCATGGACGCGCTCAACAGCGTAGACGGGTGCTGCGACGACTTCCTCAACGACGTCAAGACGCTGTTCGGTGACTCGCTCGACGACCTGGCGATGAAGCTCGGGCAGCTCAGTGTCAACGTCAATTGCAGCGAGAGGACGTTCACGAACTTGAACGGCGTCTCCAAGAAGGAAATGTGTGGCTACTCCACCTTCAAGGCCTTCACATTCATCGAATCGGAAGAATCTGCCACGTATGTGCTGGACAACATGCTGCAGATTCCGAACGACGAGATGTGCGACGCGTTTGCCGGCAAGGAGTTCACCACCACGAACGACATCACCGCATCCATCGGCATCGGTACCAATGATATCGACAGTATGGGCATCTGCCTCCAGCCCATCGACTCGTTGCTGCAGCACATCAGCTCTTGGGAGATCTTTTCGGAGACTGTGGACGTAAACGACACGACCGTGCTGCTCTCGGATCTCTTCACCTCGGGCAAGTCCATTAGCGGCGATCTGCTGTTCGACTACGCTACGTCGGAGTCGGGCCTGTCGCGGATGGGCATTCGAGCCGCCGACGCGGTGATCTACGCGATGGGCGGCGTTAGGAACGAAGACGACGAGGTTGAGAGCAGCACAATCATCGAGGACTGGTTCGTGGAGACTCTGAACAGCGTAAATTCGTACGGCGAGGGCCTGCAGGTGCACATTCCCAACGGCGGTGGCTGCACGTACCCGGACCAGTCGATCACTCTGCCGTACGCGAAGATCTCAACGACAGCGTCATCAGGATCGAGTTCGACGGCGTCGTCGTCGGGATCCATGACTGCGAATACGACCACCAAGGCACCCGAAAAAAATAATACTCATAAAAATACATTTGAATACTTTAATTCAATGATTAATTTTAGACCCTCAATTTATTTTTGAATTGCACACAATTCGTATTTGAATTGCTCAGATGGAGTTCGTTGCAGCCACCAGTGTCCGCCAAAGAGTCCACCACCAACCACTCGCCGATCTGGCACCACTTCACCGCACCACTCGCAGCGGAGGCTCCTTCAGAATCAAATTTGCTTTCTTCACCCCTCACCGCCCAAGCCCCTCGCCCCACGTGTCCACCATGGTCCTCACGAGCAGCCAAATCTGCTCCATGCTTTTCACTGATGTCGGCAACGGCTTCTACAAGTGTACATCCTGCGACAAGCAGTACAAGAAGGGCAATGGCTACACGAACCTGCTGAGCCACCTGCGGCGCAACCACGACAACTACGAGCAAGAGGCCCAGGAGGCGTCACGCCGCCAGAACCCGCTGCGCCTACACCTCGTCAGCACACGGACCAGGGACCTATACCGCTGGCTCAAGTGGGTCGTCTGCGACCGCCTCCCGTTTGCGTTCGTAGAGCGGCGGCTCACGCGCCTCAACGCCTCCCTCTCTCTCGTGTCGGAGGACACCCTCTCCAAGTACATCGTGCTGATTTTCGAGCTGCTAGAGCTGCGCGTCGCTCGCGAGCTTCCTGCATCGTTCAGCCTCGTTCTAGACGGGTGGACCAGTGGTGGTCGTCACTACATCGCGATATACGCGGTATTTGGCAGCGACAGTACCGGTATTACCGGTGGCGGCGCTGACAACGAGTACTATGACGATCTCGAGTGCTCATCGCGCCGCTTCCTGCTGTTAACATTCGCTCCAGTAGAGGTCGAGGAAGACATGGGTGCGCAGAGTCAGTACGACCTGATCGCTGACACGCTGTCTCGCTATAACAAGCCCTGGAGCGCGGTGAAGTTCATGGTGGGAGACAACGGCTCTGTGAACCAATGCATCGACCGGAAGGAAGGGGCTATCCCCTTCATTGGATGTGCTAGCCACAGATTCAATTTGGCAGTGAAGGACTTCCTCAAGACCGAGGACGAGCTCATTGCGAAGGTGCACGCGCTGATGACCAAGCTCCGGACGATCAAGGGCCGCGCTCTGCTTCGCCGCGTCTCCCATCTGTCGCCTCAGTTGAGGAACGACATCAGGTGGTCGAGCACGTACGAGATGGTGGTGCGCTATGTGAAGCTCCAGCCCGCCATAATCAAGCTGGTCCATGACCTTCTGGTCAAGTACGAAGTACAGCCGCGTTTGCTTCGGCGCGCCGAGCACGAGCGAGCCAAGGCGTTGGAGAAGGTCCTGAAGAAGTTCGAGGGAGTCACGAAAGAGCTACAGAGGTCTACGCTAACTTTGTCTGGTGTGCGCCGTCTTTTTGACCAGGGGGTGAAGGAGTACCCAGCACTCAAGTCACGACTGGCCGCAATGGCTCCGATCGTCAACAACCCGCATTTAGAACTGGGCCTCGTCAAGCTTCAGCGCGAAGAGGCGTTGATGGCCGCGGAACGGTCGGCGTGTGCCGAGTTTAGATCGACGACCCTTGAAAGGGCACCAGCGCGGGAGGACGGCAACAGCTCTATCGTCAAGGCGGCGTTCAAGAAGAGGAAGGCACCGAGGCGCTCGCAATACGTGGACGTCGCCTACGTGCCGCCGACGTCCAACGAATGCAAGCGCTTTTTTTCGGCGGCGAAGCTGGTGCTCACAGACGTGCGGAAGAGTCTCTCCCCCACCATGCTCAAGATGCTGATGTGTCTGCAGTACAACCGCGACTTGTGGGACGTCAACACGGTGGAGAATTGGCAGCAATTAATGGCAATAATGCGATGATTAATTTTTGCCCGCAGTTTAGAAGTATTAATCTAAGTATTGCATTGTCGGTGGTGGTCGACGACCACCACCGACTCAAGCGCTGCTTCCGCGGTCAAGGTGGCGACCATGATGACTTTTGGTGCGGCGCTCCTCTCCGCGGTGGTTGCACTGCTTTAGGCGGATCAACCACGCTCGTCAATGCGCAGCGGCACCAACGCAGCACATTATGCAAGAATTATTAGCATATCTCGATGAGCTTTAAATATATATAAGCATGCCCCGGACTTGTTTCGGAAAACGTACGAGCCCCACCGTTGAACCGCGTGATTCCGGGAGTAATACTTTCTGTTGACCACAGCTCGCTGTCGCATGTCGAAGCAGCTCAATGCCTTCGAGCTTTCACGGTAGTGATGGCGTTCGGCGTTAGTTGAAATGAGTTTGAGTAGACTGTTGTGTGGTCAAGTCATGTGTGAACTTCAAGCGTTAGTGCGGCTTCAAGTTGCCCCCCCCTCGTCTCATCGTCGATTTGAGGAAAGCATCATTCATTGTGAGTTGGTCAGCGACGCTGGCCCAGCGTAGCGAGGTTTCGAGTCTGCTCGAGGGCAACGAACGTCAGGTGCAGTAAGCTCGTTGCAGGGGATTACTCTCTCATTGTTTTGGCACTCCGCCAGCCTGACCATCAAGGTGACGCTGCGGCTTTTCATCACACACACCTGCGTGGTTCGATTCCCTCTGCGCCAGTCCATCTGGGGGTGTGGGCTCGTCAACAAGTCTCGCTATGTCGCGCGGCACCGCATACAAATTGCTGGTTACCGCGCCGCACGTTCAGTTCTTTGGCCCCATAATCGCCTCTCTTCAAAGATTGGGACGTGAGTGTCTTTGGCGCGCCGTGGAAGGAGCGGGTGGCACCGTCAAATCCATGGCCTGACCTGGCGCGAGTGAGCAGCGATGGATGGAACCGGACCATGTCAGTCTCACTTCACTTCTCGCTCCAGCCCGACAATGGAGCACCGTCAAGACCAGCTACTCGCTGAGTCGGCAGCCGACGACGCTACCGACAACCAAAGTGTCGGCGATGTCGTGCCGGACAAGCTGCTGGCGCCAAAGGTTTCGACCTACCGCCTGCCGCGCTTCAGCTCGCGCCGCCTCAGCTCCAACAGCTCGTTCGGAGACCACGAGGTGCTGCCACGCACCAAGAGCATGTTCCCGGAGCCCCGCGAGCTCACCAAGAACGACCTGACCAGTGCCGACGCGTTGATGGCCGACGACGTCTTCACCATGAATTCGACGCTGTCGTCGGTGATCGAGAACGCGCTGGGCCACCCGATCCCGGGCCTTGAGGTACGCTTCCGCAACCTCGAGCTGTCGGCCGAGGTGCCGCAGATCAAGAGCGGCGAGCTCGAGGTGCCGACGCTGTGGACGCAAGTGCAGCAGGGTGTCGGCGGCCTCTTCGGCTCCAAGCAGTTCACGGTCGAGAAGAAGATCCTGCGCGGAGTCACGGGCGCCTTCAAGCCGGGCCGCATCACGCTGGTGCTGGGCCAGCCCGGATCGGGCAAGTCCTCGCTCATGAAGGTGCTGGCCAACCGCTTCCACATGGACAAGAACATCTCGCTCGGCGGTGACATTGAGTATAACGGCAAGGAGCGGTCCTTGATGCTGGACATGCTCCCGCGCGACGTGGCCTACGTGAACCAGATCGACGAGCACTATCCGCGCATGACGGTGCAGGAGACGTTCGAGTTCGCGCACCGCTGCTGCTCGGGTAAAGACCTCGAGCCGTGGGCCGTTGAGGCCCTGAAGAACTGTTCGCCGGAGCACCACGACCTCGCGTTGAAGCTCGTGACGGCGCACCACAAGTTCGCGCCCGATCTGATGGTCAAGAAGCTCGGCCTGGACAACTGCAAGGACACGGTCGTGGGCAACGCCATGCTCCGAGGCGTGTCTGGAGGCGAACGCAAGCGCGTCACGACTGGTGAGATGCTCGTCGGCAGGAAGCGACTGCAGTTGTTGGACGAGATCAGCACGGGCCTTGATAGTGCGGCCACGTACGACATCTGCAAGTCGCTCAAAAGCGCGACCCGCAACTTCAACGCGACTGTGGTGATTTCCCTTCTGCAGCCGTCGCCTGAGGTGTTCGAGCTGTTCGACGACGTGCTGCTCATGAACGAGGGCAGCATCATGTTCCACGGCAAGCGCGAGGACGCCGTGCCCTACTTCGAGCAAATGGGCTTCCACTGCCCGCCCCGCAAGGACGTGGCCGACTTCCTGCTGGATCTGGGCACCAACAAGCAGGGCGCCTATGTCGTGGGCTCCAACGTGCCGTACCAGTCGGCTGAGTTCGCCGACCGCTTCCGCGAGTCGACTATTTTCCAGAAGACACTGAGGCGCCTCGATTCTCCGGTCAAGGAGCCGCTGATCGTCCCCGACGTCAAGCCGTTCCGCTTGTCCTTCTTTGAGGACATGACCATCCTGCTGCGTCGTCAGTTGATGCTGACGTCGCGTGACACGACGTACCTCATGGGTCGCGCGGTCATGAACATCGTCATGGGTCTGCTCTACGGCTCTACGTTCTGGCAGATGGACGATTCCAACAGCCAGCTCATCCTGGGTCTGCTCTTCTCCTGCGCCATGTTCCTGTCGTTGAGTCAGGCCTCTCAAGTGCCGACGTTCATCGAGGCCCGGTTGGTGTTCTACAAGCAGCGCGGCGCCAACTTCTTCCGCTCGAGCGCGTACGTGCTGGCCATGTCGCTCTCGCAGATCCCCATGGCCGTAGTGGAGACCGTCGTGTTCGGAGCCATCACCTACTGGATGGGAGGCTACGTGGCCCTCGCGGACCGCTTCATCGTGTTCCTCGTCACGCTCTTCCTGTGCCAAATGTGGTTCACCAGCTACTTCTTCTTCCTGAGTTCGGTCTCGCCCAACCTGACGGTCGCGCAGCCCGTCATGATGGTATCGGTGCTGTTCTTCATGCTGTTCGGAGGCTTCTTGATCACGAAGGACAACATCCCGGACTATTTGATATGGATCTATTGGCTGGATCCGCTCGCGTGGTGCATCCGCGCGCTCAGCATCAACCAGTACCTGGCCCCCAAGTTCGACGTCTGCGTCTACGGAGGTATCGACTACTGCTCGACGTACAGTGAGACCATCGGCGAGTACAGCCTCGGCGTGTTCAGCCTGCCGACCGAGTCGATGTGGATCTGGTACGGCTGGATCTTCCTGTTCGCCGGCTACTTCGTGTTCGTCTTCGTCTCGTACCTCGTGCTGGAGTACAAGCGCTACGAGAGCCCGGAAAATGTCGCTGTGGTGGAGGACGACGAAGCTAGCGCCGACCAGACCGCGTACTCGAAGATGCCGGCCACTCCGAAGGGGGTGCACGACCATGAAAAGGTCATCGAGATCCAGGACGCCGACGATGTCATGGGTGGGGTCCCAACCATCAGCGTCCCCGTCGAGCCTACCGGGCGCGGCATCTCTCTCCCCATTACGTTGGCCTTTGAGAACCTCTGGTACTCCGTGCCGATGCCTGGAGGCAAGAAGGATGAGGAGATCGACCTGCTCAAGGGCGTGTCTGGATTCGCCCTTCCCGGAACGATGACCGCGCTCATGGGCTCCTCCGGCGCTGGCAAGTCCACGCTCATGGACGTCATCGCTGGACGCAAGACCGGCGGCAAGATCCAAGGGAAGATTCTGCTTAACGGCCACCCGGCCAACGACCTGGCCATCCGCCGATGCACGGGCTACTGCGAGCAGATGGACATCCACTCGGACTCGGCCACGGTGCGCGAGGCGCTCATCTTCTCGGCCATGCTGCGCCAGGACGCCAACATCTCGACGGCGCAGAAGATGGAGTCCGTCGAGGAGTGCATCGAGCTGCTGGAGCTCGGCCCCATCGCCGACAAGATCATCCGTGGCTCGTCCACGGAGCAAATGAAGCGCGTGACCATCGGCGTGGAGCTGGCGGCGCAGCCCAGCATCATCTTCATGGACGAACCGACGAGTGGCCTGGACGCGCGCTCGGCCAAGCTCATCATGAACGGCGTGCGCAAGATCGCCGACTCGGGCCGCACCATCGTGTGCACGATCCACCAGCCGAGCACGGAGGTGTTCAACCTGTTCGATTCGCTGTTGCTGCTGCGTCGCGGCGGTCGCATGGTGTTCTTCGGCGAGCTGGGCGAGGACTCGAAGAACCTGATCAGCTACTTCGAGGCCTTCCCTGGCGTGAACCCGATCAAGCCCGGATACAACCCGGCCACGTGGATGCTCGAGTGCATTGGTGCTGGTGTTGGAGGTGGCAAGGCTGCTGCGAACGCGGACCCGTCGCAGCCGACGGACTTCGCTGAGCGCTTCATCGTCAGTGACCAGAAGGTGCTGATGGAGGAGGATCTGGACCAAGAAGGAGTGCTGCACCCTTCGTCGCACCTGCCGGAGCTCAAGTTCGAGACAAAGCGCGCCTCCAACCCGCGCGTGCAGTTCCAGCTTCTGTGTCTGCGCTTCTTCCGCATGTACTGGCGCACGCCGACGTACAACCTCACGCGCTTGTTCATCAGTGTGCTGCTGGGTTGCGTGTTCGGTGTCATCTACCAGGGCACCGACTACTCGACGTACACTGGCGCCAACTCGGGCGTGGGTCTCATCTTCGTCAGCACCATTTTCCTCGGTCTCATCAGCTTCAACAGCGTCATGCCCGTGGCCGCCGACGAGCGCGCCGCTTTCTATCGGGAGCGTGCAAGTGAGACTTATAATGCGCTCTGGTACTTCGTTGCCGGCACGCTGGTGGAGATCCCGTACATCTTCTTCTCGAGTCTGCTGTTCACCATCATCTTCTACCCGAGCGTGGGCTTCACGGGCTATATCACCTTCTTCTACTACTGGCTGGTGGTGGCCATGAACGCGCTGCTGTTCGTGTACTTCGGCCAGCTCATGGTGTTCGCCCTCCCCAGTGTCGCCGTTGCGTCCACCCTCGGAGCTCTTTTCAGCGGCATTTTCATGCTGTTCGCCGGCTTCAACCCACCCGCGGGTAGTATCCCCACGGGCTACATGTGGGTCCACTGGATCTCGCCGCCGACGTACACTATCGCCATGTTGGTGTCGTTGGTCTTTGCCGACTGCTCCGAGGGCAGCACGGACGGTATCAGCTGCAAGACGCTGCAGAACGCGCCGCCCACGATCAGGGACATGACGTTGAAGGAATACGTCGAGGAGACGTTCGACATGAAGCACAGCGATATCTGGAGGAACGCCGTGATCCTGCTCATCCTCATCGTCGTCTTCCGTATCCTGGCGCTCGTGTCGCTGCGCTACATCAACCACCTCAAGCGCTAGGAGATTACCTACAAGCGAGTAAGCTCCGCACATTTCCGATAATGTACTACATCCCCAAAACTTACTCTTAACGATGCACAGTACCCCCCCCCCCTCGAAATAGAATGACCCGAGCTACGCTGGACAACTTCGGGGGTGATGCTTCAATTCGACAATGTGACGAGGGGGGGGGGGGTATGTTGACAGCAACTTGAAAGTTCAAAGTTTTGATGCACTAACACTTGAAGTTCATTGAGATCCACGCAAGACTCACGCACACCACTAACTAAACTCATTCCAACTAATGCAGGCACATGCATCCAGACTAACTTACCACGAAAACTCAAACGTGAGGCATTCCCTGAGCCCCGGGAGCGCGTTGAGCTGCTCGCGCACGTTTCTTCTGGTGGCGCACGTCCCCCACAGCGAGAGGGCCACGTCCCTGGCCGCCATGCAGCGGTCGAGCGCCTCGGCCTCCCGTAGAGCGCGCTCTTCCTGCAGCAGCTCCAGGTATCGCTGGCGGATCGAGACCGTCGACGACGGTGCGGCCAGCTCGTCCTGCGGGCCGATCACCACCGCCGCCGTGCGCTTGGCCAGTAACGTCCTGACCTGAGCCTCGAGCTGCATCCACTCGACCTCGTCGTCCGCGCGCTTGTCCTTCTGGCGCTTGCGGTAGCCCTTCTCGTAGCCGCGCTGCTTGTCCTTGCGGTTCTCCTTGCGGCCGATGGGGTCCACGTCGATTCTTCGTCTGGTTCGATGAGCGGGCTTGGCCGTTGGCTTGCGCTTTGTGGGGCTCATGCTGCGAGGCGTGGAGGCCATCGTCGGCTTCTTGACGGGGGACTCGGCGACGACGGTGACGCTCTCGACGTTGAACGCCATGCCCAGGTCGTCGTCGCTAGTGATCGGCTTGAGGTACTGCAGCACGCTGAACATCGCCTGCTGCTCGGCGGCCGACGTCGAGGTGGAGATGAAGCTGTGCGTCGGCTTGGAAGTCACCGGGGGGCTGGTGGGGGTCACCACTACAGGGATCGACGTCATAAACTCGGCCGCGGCCATGTCTTCGTCGTCGACGTCGATGCTGATGGACTCGATCCAGACGGGGATCGGAGCTTCCCACTCCATTGCAGGCGTCATGGCCATGGTTGAATTGGAGGTGAGGGCACTGAGAAGTAGGAGGTTTTGACGCCGCTGTGGCAAATTCGAGAGTGAGGAGCGGCCGCGAGGGCGGACCGACGCAGAAGCTGTCGTTGGCGGAGTGGTCTCGATCTCGACTCTGGCCGACAGAAAGTCGGAGCAGGCAGGCAGGGCCCTGTGCAAGTCAGACTTCACAGACGCGAAAGCGTGGCATGGTTGTTTGTTGCTGTGCGTGTATATAGCGGCTCGAAAGAGAGGAAGCGTTCCGTGGCCATCCACAGAGCGCCCGCGGGTGGTCACGTGGGCTGCCGTAGAGAGAGAGCGGGGCGGGCTGCCATCCTGAATGGAGGATCTCCCGTCTGATATCCGCTCGGGGCCATGGGCCGGCGCCTTTGCTCCGTTCTGTCATGCGGGTCTGAATACGGAGCGGGTGTCACTGGCGTGACGGCGTCCAGGCTCGAAAAATCTCGAGCGGAGTGAATGGAGCGGAGCCCGCACCACCGGCTCTCGGTCTATTTCGCTTGCTTGGTGTTGTGGCTGGTATAAGCTCCGGAGCTTCGGAGTGGAGTGGTGGCGTCTTCTTCGGTGCGATGGAGTGCCGGTTGATGGGGCTATGCATGTTGACGAGGAAGGGAGGCATCCCTGTTGTCGGGGGCCACGTAGCACTCTGCATCTCTAATTGAAGACGCGGTTGTTAAATCGCTGGGGTGGTCTACCACTTTTCGATGCATCTATACATGCAATCACGAACTCGGCTAGTATTGGTAACTTCGCTGTGCTGGTTGATTGGCGTTCCTATCCCCTCACACAACGGTGCGCCTCAATTGTGTGTTATGAAAGAGTTGGTAAAGTACGAGTTTCTACTACGAACTTCTGGAGGCCGAAGTACCAGAAACCGCTGAGTCGTCGATGGAGGATCGCGTGTACCATTATCTCCAGGTTATGCATTGTCGATAGGAAACGGGATCATGATCGACTGGTCTGCGTTGGTGCAACTGCCGTTAACCGGAACATGCACAGCAAGAGCCAGGAGTTCGTCGAAAATATCGGGGCTGTCCGAGCTTTCAGAGGTGTCAGCGTATCCCCAGTTGCCGGCCGATCCGTCATCGCTTTCGCTTTGTAGTCCCTCCGAGTTGTCTGCATAGCTCCAGACCCAGCCCCAGCTCCCCCAGTTGGTCGAGCTGTCGGGGTTGAAGCCATTCCAGTCGCCCGAATTGTCGGTGTCGAAGGTGTCTACGAACTCCGCACTCCCTGCATCGTCGTCTGCATACATAATAGCCTGCAAACTGGCAGCAACTCGCAGGATAATGGCGGGCAGGTTTGTGGATGTTGTAAGGTACGAAAGCAGCAATTCACCAGAGATGGACGTGTCCGGAGTGAACAGGTCCGCCAACGTGAAATCGACACCACCAGCATTGAGCGTCTCCGAGAAAACTGGCCACGATGCGATGTACTGCGTGAGCGCATCAAGTGGCTGCAGACAGATCCCCATGGTATCAGCGCCAAAGGAGCCGAATCCTAGTGAGACGAGCTCCCCCTTGGTGTTCGTGAAGTCTTGGCCTGCAAATGCGCTGACATTTGGTCGTTTGGGATTTGGGCAATGTTCAGAAGTGAAGGAGTCTCGTAGCCATGCTCCTGGTTGATGAAGCTGTAGGAATTCAAGATGGAGTAGCCGCATCTTTCCTTGGTCAACGCGCCCGCCAGGCTCGTGAACGTCCTCTCTGCACAAGCAGCATTGGCGAGATGTTGGGCCAGTTTTTCGACCATAATGTCCAGAGAATCGCCAAACCGAGTGTGGACCTCGTCGAGGAAGTCCTCGCAGCAGTCGCCCGCGCTAAAGAGAGTGCCCATGATGGACTCCTTCATCGCGGCAGTGATGCACGGCAACACGGTATCCTCGACAATCGGGCAGACGTTCGCCCACCCAGCTGCAGTCGTGAGATCTTCGTCCACGCTGTCCACGCTTTCGAGGGCTGAAAGGCAGCTCTTGACAGAGGCGGCCAGCGACACGTACGCAGCGATCGGGTCGAAAACAGCAGCGCACTTGGACAACGATGGTAGAGCGGCGCCGAGTTCTTCAAAGACGCTGGCAAACGGGACCGAGGACGGGTCCGCACCGGTCCATGCTGCTAGCGAGGCAGTGAGCGTGCTGCTCGAGTCAATCAACGCCTTGCATGCTGCAGCATCTGCGGCGTTCACAGCCAGCAATAGGCTGACGACAGTCGGTAGTGGAGACAAAATCTTCATCGGCAAAGTCGCGGTTGCTCTTGGGCACACCGCCAACGCAATTTGAAAAGTGAGCTTTGACGATCACCCACGAGTTTACCATCAACTACAGCGGCACTGGCAGCCACTCGTGTTCATATTGTGCAGCTCTAGAAGCCAGCCCATGGGACTCCATTGTCACCGATGGGCTCACTGCATGCGATCCGCTCATGAAACACCCCCAGACTTGAATCTACCGTTTTGGTGGGGCAAAAGCCTGGCACATCCCATGTGCGGAAACGAAACCCGAGTCGTGAATAGTTTTTTGCGAGCATGCCAGAGTGTCGCCCATTTTAGGCATAAAACAAAAGCTTATGACTTGTGAACCTCCGGGCGATGCAACTTCGGCCCATAGGGTGGACTATCCCAGCGATTTAACAACCGCGTCTTCAATTAGAGATGCAGAGTGCTACGTGGCCCCCGACAACAGGGATGCCTCCCTTCCTCGTCAACATGCATAGCCCCATCAACCGGCACTCCATCGCACCGAAGAAGACGCCACCACTCCACTCCGAAGCTCCGGAGCTTATACCAGCCACAACACCAAGCAAGCGAAATAGACCGAGAGCCGGTGGTGCGGGCTCCGCTCCATTCACTCCGCTCGAGATTTTTCGAGCCTGGACGCCGTCACGCCAGTGACACCCGCTCCGTATTCAGACCCGCATGACAGAACGGAGCAAAGGCGCCGGCCCATGGCCCCGAGCGGATATCAGACGGGAGATCCTCCATTCAGGATGGCAGCCCGCCCCGCTCTCTCTCTACGGCAGCCCACGTGACCACCCGCGGGCGCTCTGTGGATGGCCACGGAACGCTTCCTCTCTTTCGAGCCGCTATATACACGCACAGCAACAAACAACCATGCCACGCTTTCGCGTCTGTGAAGTCTGACTTGCACAGGGCCCTGCCTGCCTGCTCCGACTTTCTGTCGGCCAGAGTCGAGATCGAGACCACTCCGCCAACGAAAGCTTCTCGGGCGTCGGTCCGCCCTCGCGGCCGCTCCTCACTCTCGAATTTGCCACAGCGGCGTCAAAACCTTGGCCATCTGAAGTGTACCGTACGCATCCAATGGTGAAATCTACCGCACCCATGGAATGAACGCACGATTTGAGGAGGGCCGAGCTCAAATTCACGACATTCCGTAACAATAGTATTGCTGACAATGTCAGCTACTAGCCGTTGACGATCCCTCACGCACTTCATCACTTTCAGAAAGATGCGATCCAGCCTAATCAAGCGTTGATTACCCCGCCCGGTCTTGGAGCTCAATGCTGTCCTTGGTCTCATTCCCCAACTCGCCTTCAGCCCGTCGATCGAGCAACAATGGCAGGGCCGCCGGAGAAGTCCCTCACTGTGCCGCCCGGCCCCACCCCCAAAGCCGAAGTCGACACCGACGATGTCGTGCCGGACAAGCTGCTGGCGCCCAAGATGTCGACGTACCGCCTTCCTCGCTTCAACTCGCGTCGCCTCACCCCCAACAGCTCGTTCGGCGACTGCGACCGACTCCCGCGCACCGGGAGCATGTTCCCCGAGCCTCGCCAGCTCACCACCGACGACCTCCTGAGTGCCGACGCCTTGATGGCCGACGACGTCTTCACCATGAACTCCACTCTGTCCACCGTCATCGAGAACGCCCTGGGTCGTCCCATTCCGGGCCTCGAGGTGGCTTCCGCAACCTCGAGCTGTCTGCACAAGTGCCGCAGCTCAAGAGCGGCAGCCTCGAAGTGCCCACTCTGTGGTCCAATCTGCAGCAAGCCCTGAGCTCAAAGAGGCTCACGGTCGAGAAGAAGATCCTGCGTGGAGTCACAGGCGTCTTCAGGCCGGGCCGCATCACGCTCGTGCTGGGCCAGCCTGGCTCGGGCAAGTCCTCGCTCATGAAGGTGCTGGCCAACCGCTTCCACATGGACAAGAACATCTCGCTCGGCGGTGACATTGAGTATAACGGCAAGGAGCGGTCCTTGAGGGAGCGACTAAATTAGGTCAAATCGCAAACTTGGTCAAGGCCAAATCTTGAAGATAGATAACGGATAGGTCACACATTTGGCCCTTGGGTCACGTGACCAAACCACTTGGTCACGTGAAGCTGCTAGAACAAGCTTTAGCGCCCCAGCATCACCCATGTCGTTCCCTTCATCACTACGGAAAAGTACAACATGCCAAGTAGCTATTTCTGGCCGTTGTACCTGTTCTAAACTCTGGGGTTTTTGAAACCAACATGACCCAATAGAAAGCATGCGAACAGTGGGTCATTGGGACTTCTCCCATTACAAACACAGCTTTCAAGTCACGCGCCAACCACTAACGTAACCCAAGATGGCTCGGCGCCGAGGCGGTCGTGGAGGAGCCTCTACGTCTTCCCCAGACCCAGCCCCATCTCGTTCTCCTGGTCGTCGTGGGCAATCTCGATTTGCCCCGACTTCGCGTCCGACTCGTCGAAGCAGTCGCGCGACGAGTGACGTTCTTGAAAGAGAGCTGTCCGACGCCATCTTGGCTTCCCAAGAGTTACGGGCAGGAACACAGGCGCCGACGTCGCGTTTAACACGCCGAAACAACCACGCATCGAGTGACGTCCCTGATAGCGAGGTGACCGCAGCCGTCGTGACTCGGCATGGACTTCTGATGGGGATTCGCGATACTGAACCAGACACGCCTGAGCTGGTAGGCATCCCACGACCAGCGCTATCCATGCCACTGTCCAATGTGGACACTCAGACCTCGACGAGTGTGTCACGTTCGCAACAAGCGTCCAAGCCTCGGGACGGACGTACAAAACTGTATACTCTTTTGTTCGAGCTAACGGAACTTCAAACAAGATATCGTATCGCTGCAGCTCATATCGTTCCCCCTGCCCTGCGCAGTTTGCATTCTACGCGAGTACGATGGCGTTTGACTTCAGCAGCATGAATGCTCATACATGCCGTGTTGGTCCTGCTCTCCGAGGAGCAACGGTGAACCCAGGCGATCACGCCATAGATGCTTCGAACGACATCATGAAGGAGGTCGACAAACTTGCTACTCAAACGACTCTCACTCAGAGGCAAATATGGATGGCTATTGTGGACAAGTTCTACATGAACGATGGGGCTCCGGTTCGCGGCGTATCGGACAAAACCGTCAAAAACCGTGTGCAAGAAACTTGGGGCCACGATTCCAGTCACGGCCGAGCCAGTATCATGACGAACCCCCGACTGACCTAGATTAAAGGATCGCACCAAGGCTTCTTCCAGTTTCAGTATGCCTGGCACGATGACGTCAAGGCGCTAAAGAAGCCGCCAAAGGATGCAAATGGCATCGATCAGATAACTGCGTGGGCTCATCCTACGCTTTTGAATTTGCTTTGCTTCGAAAACTTGTCGTGGTTTATCGACGGCACGTTTAGATGTGCCCCCGTCGACTATAAGCAGTGTGTCACAATTATGATCTATGATCTTTCCAGCAAGCTATTTCTCCCTGTCCTGCATGCGGCAACTACATCTATGACGAGAAAATCCTACGTCCGACTGCTGCAATGTGTACAAGATGCTGTGGGGGGGGGCAAACTGGTTCCGAAAGATGTGGTGTGTGACTTTGAGAGTTCACTGATTGGAGCACTTCGCGAGTTCTTTCCTGTCGTCACCATTATCGGGTGCCTGTTTCATTTTAAACAGGCATGTCGTCGCAAGATGAAAAGCATTGGGCTACCAGTTGGTGAAATCAAGGTTGCTATGTCGCGTAATGTCTTTGACGTCATTGATCCCACCAAAATTGCTGTGCAGGGAATCGCTTGGGTGAAGGCCAAGATTTGCAGCGTGTGTGCGGTGAAAGGTCTGGAGTACTCTCGCAGCAAGTGGCGAACGTTTTGGAGCTACTTTCAGCGGACTTGGTTGGAGACATACCCGCCGGAATACTGGAATGTGTTCGGCATGAGGCGTGACATCATCAGCCGGACGAACAACCCATTAGAGCGATTTCACCGTGAACTAAACAAGCGGTTTAATGCTGATCCGCCCATGAAAACCTTCGTGACTTCGCTAGAGAACCTTGCTCGCGAGTACGTTGCGCAACGGACGACTGTCATCTCAGGCTTAGCCAAGCCACCTGAGCGTACAGGATTCGTCCTACCAAGACAGCCAAAGCTGCCAGAGGTGAGCGACATCGTCGACTCGCCAGCCAGCAGCGACGGTGAGGGTGAAATTGTCGATGCTGACGCGGACTCGGAACCATACAGCAGCGCTATGTCCTCGACGGGTGACGAGAACGTGGAACCCGGCGAGTACATTCAGCCGGATCACTCCTTCGAGTACGACGGCGAGACGTAGAGAGCCTCCGACACCTACATCACGGACGCGACCGCGCAGTATGAAGAGGGCAGTGAGCATAACACATAATACATTTCATTCATTACGTACGTGACCAACTGTAATTAGGTCACGTGACCTAACGACGTGACCAACTATGCCATTTGACCTAATTTATCGGTTACCGGTCCTTGATGCTGGACATGCTCCCGCGCGACGTGGCCTCCGTGAACCAGATCGACGAGCACTATCCGCGCATGACGGTTCAGGAGACGATCGAGTTCGCGCACCGCTGCTGCGCGGGTAAGGAATTGGAGCCGTGGGTGGTCGACGCTCTCAAGAACTGTTCGCCGGAGCACCACGACCTCGCGTTGAAGCTCGTGACGGCGCACCACAAGTTCGCGCCCGATCTGATGGTCAAGAAGCTCGGCCTGGACAACTGCAAGGACACGGTCGTGGGCAACGCCATGCTCCGAGGCGTGTCTGGAGGCGAGCGTAAGCGCGTCACGACGGGCGAGATGCTCGTCAGTAAGAAGCGTCTGCAGCTTCTGGACGAGATCAGTACGGGCCTCGACAGCGCCGCCACTTACGACATCTGCAAGTCGCTCAAGAGCGCGGCCCGCAACTTCAACGTCACCGCCGTGATCTCGCTGCTTCAGCCGTCGCCTGAGGCGTTCGAGCTGTTCGACGACGTGCTGCTCATGAACGAGGGCAGCGTCATGTTCCACGGCAAGCGCGAGACTGTAGTCCCGTACTTTGAGCAAATGGGCTTCAACTGTCCCCCTCGCAAGGACGTCGCCGACTTCCTGCTGGATCTCGGTACCGACAAGCAGAACGCGTACGTCGTTGGAGAGCCTGATAGTGTGCCGTATCGCTCAGCCGAGTTCGCCGACCGCTTCAAGCACTCGAGTATCTTCCAGAAGACGCTGAAGCGGCTGGACTCACCGGTCAAGGAGACGTTGTTCCTGCAGGACACGAATCCCTTCCGTCTGACGTTCACTGAGGAGGTTGTGGCCTTACTACAACGGGAGTTGATGCTGAAATCCCGTGACACGGCGTACCTTATCGGCCGCGCTGTCATGGTTATCGTCATGGGCCTGCTGTACGGCTCGACGTTCTGGCAGATGGACGAAGCCAACAGCCAGCTCATCCTGGGTCTGCTGTTCTCGTGCTCGCTGTTCGTCTCGCTGAGCCAGTCGTCACAGGTGCCGACGTTTATGGAGGCGCGTAGTGTGTTCTGCAAGCAGCGCGGCGCCAACTTCTTCCGCTCGAGCTCTTACGTGATCTCCATCGCGCTATCGCAGATCCCCATGGCGGCATTGGAGACGGTGGTGTTTGGTGCGATCACGTACTGGATGGGAGGGTACGTGGCCCGCGGCGACCGGTTCCTCGTGTTCTTCGTCACTCTGTTCCTGTGTCAAATGTGGTATACTAGCTACTTCTTCTTCCTGTCATCGGCGTCACCGAATCTGACAATGGCTCAGCCGTTTATGATGGTGGCCGTGCTGTTCTCCATGCTGTTCGGGGGCTTCTTGATCGCCAAAGACGACATGCCGGACTATTTGATATGGATCTATTGGCTGGATCCGCTCGCGTGGTGCATTCGGGCGTTGAGTGTGAGTGAATACTCGGCTCCTAAATTCGACGTGTGTGTCTACGACGGCATCGACTACTGCACCAAGTACAACGAAACCATCGGGGAATACAGCCTCAGTGTCTTCAATCTGCCGACAGAGTCGACGTGGATTTGGTACGGCTGGATCTACCTGGTGGCCGGCTACTTGGTCCTCATCTTGGCGTCGTATCTCGTGTTGGAGTTCAAGCGCTACGAAAGTCCCGAGAATATCGCGATTGTGGAGAACAACGACGCTGGAACAGACCTGACAGTTTACTCTTCGATGCCACCAACACCGAAGAAATCAAAAGACAACGAAAACGTGATTCAGATTCACAACGTCGACGATATTATGGGCGGCGTCCCCACCATCAGCATCCCAATTGAGCCCACGGGCAGTGGCGTCGCCGTGCCCGTGACGCTGGCCTTCCACGACCTATGGTACTCGGTCCCGCTGCCCGGTGGCGCCAACGACGAACAGATCGACCTGCTCAAGGGCGTGTCCGGATTCGCTCTACCCGGAACGATGACCGCGCTCATGGGCTCCTCCGGCGCTGGCAAGACCACGCTCATGGACGTCATCGCCGGACGCAAGACCGGCGGCAAGATCCAAGGGAAGATCCTGCTTAACGGCCACCCGGCCAACGACCTGGCCACCCGCCGATGCACGGGCTACTGCGAGCAGATGGACATCCACTCGGACTCGGCCACGGTGCGCGAGGCGCTCATCTTCTCGGCCATGCTGCGCCAGGACGCCAACATCTCGACGGCGCAGAAGATGGAGTCGGTCGAGGAGTGCATCGAGCTGCTGGAGCTCGGCCCCATCGCCGACAAGATCATCCGCGGCTCGTCCACGGAGCAGATGAAGCGCGTGACCATCGGCGTGGAGCTGGCGGCGCAGCCCAGCATCATCTTCATGGACGAACCGACGAGTGGCCTGGACGCGCGCTCGGCCAAGCTCATCATGAACGGCGTGCGCAAGATCGCCGACTCGGGCCGCACCATCGTGTGCACGATCCACCAGCCGAGCACGGAGGTGTTCAACCTGTTCGATTCGCTGTTGCTGCTGCGTCGCGGCGGTCGCATGGTGTTCTTCGGCGAGCTGGGCGAGGACTCGAAGAACCTGATCAGCTACTTCGAGGCCTTCCCTGGCGTGAACCCGATCAAGCCCGGATACAACCCGGCCACGTGGATGCTCGAGTGTATTGGTGCTGGTGTTGGAGGTGGCAAGGCTGCTGCGAACGCGGACCCGTCGCAGCCGACGGACTTTGCCGACCGCTTCTTGGTGAGCGACCAGAAGGTGCTGATGGAGGAGGACTTGGACCAGGACGGCGTGCTGCGTCCTTCGCCGCACCTCCCCGAGCTCAAGTTTATCAACAAGCGCGCCTCGAGCGGCTACGTCCAGTTCGAGCTGCTGTGCCGCCGCTTCTTCCGCATGTACTGGCGCACGCCGACGTACAACCTCACGCGCTTGATGATCAGCGTGGTGCTGGCAACGGTGTTCGCCATCATCTACCAGGGCACCGACTACTCCGTGTCAGCGGTGCCAACGCCGGAGTGGGTTTGGTCTTCGTGAGCACGGTCTTCCTCGGTCTCATCAGCTTCAACAGCGTCATGCCAGTTGCCGCGGAAGAGCGCACCGCTTTCTACAGGGAACGAGCTTGTGAGACCTACTCAGCGCTGTGGTATTTCATCGCTGGAACTTTGGCAGGGGTTGGAAAAAATAATATCAATACAATAGTTACGGCATTTTTAGCACGGAATAATTTATTATTGCTTTAGGGTGCCCCCGTACAATGGAAAATTGTCCCAATACAATATCAACACTTGCACCAATAAAAAAACTAAGCTTACTACAAAAATCCCGTATATATTTATTGCCAATAATTGTGAAAATACTGTATTATTGGCTGACCCTGTATTGCAATGATTATTACTGCGACTCCAAAACCAAAATACAATATGATATTTTATTTTCCGACCTCCGCTTCATCCTGTTTGGAGGCTTCAACTCACCCGCTGGAAGTATACCGACTGGTTACAAGTGGGTGCATTGGATCTCACCCCCGACGTACACTGTTGCCATCCTCGTGTCTCTGGTCTTTGCCGACTGCGAAGATGACAGTGGAGACAGTATCAGTTGCCGAGTGGTGCAGGACGCCCCGCCAACTATAGGGGACAAGACGTTGAAGGCGTACGTGGAAGGCAGGTTCGACATGAAGCACGACGACATCTGGCGGAACGCGGCGATATTGATCGTGCTCATGGTTTGCTTCCTAGTGCTGGCATTGCTGTCGCTGCGCTACATCAACCACATGAAGCGGTGAAGTGGTCTGCATACTGCGTTAGCGTGTTTCAAAAATTGCTGGGTCAAAAATATCGAGAATGTCAAAAATATTTCGTATGTGTCGAAATTCTTTTTGACGCAAACTAAAACAGATTTCTTTTTTCGACATTTGAATGATGTATGAAATGGAGAGCAAAAGGTAATAACAGCTACCGGTATCTGTATTTCTAATTTTTCATTTTACCGATGCTTAGCATGCCTGTCCTACGAACTCTAGCTTAACGCTTGAGGTGGCTGATGTAGCGGAGGGAGATCAGCGCCAGCACGCGGAAGACCACGATGAGGATGATCAAGATCATGGCGTTTCGCCAAATGTCGCCGTGCTTCATGTCGAACGTCTCCTCCACGTACTCCTTGAGCGTCATGTCCCCGATCGTGGGCGGCGCGTCCTGCAGCACGTCGCAGCCCACCTTGTCGCCCGAGCAATCGCCCAGCACGAGCGACACCAGGATGGCGATGCTGTACGTCGGCGGCGAGATCCAGTGGACCCACATGTACCCGGTCGGGATGCTGCCGGTGGGCGGGTTGAAGCCGGCGAACAGCATGAAGATGGAGCTCAGAAGCGCGCCCAGCGTCGTGGCCACCGCCACACTCGGCAGCGCGTACACCAGCAGCTGGCCCAGGTACACGAACACCAGCGCGTTCATGGAGACCACGACCCAGTAGTAGAAGAAGGTGATGTAACCCGTGAAGCCGACGCTCGGGAAGAAGATGACGCTGAACAGCAGGCTCGAGAAGAAGATGTACGGGATCTCCACCAGCGTGCCGGCAACGAAGTACCAGAGCGCATTATAGCTCTGGCTAGCACGCTCACGATAGAAAGCGGTGCGCTCGTCGGCGGCCACGGGCATGACGCTGTTGAAGCTGATGATGCCCAGGAAGACGGTGCTCACGAAGATGAGACCGATGCCGGCGTTCGCTCCGCTGTACGTGCTGTAGTCGGTGCCCTGGTAGATGATGGCGAAGACGCAGGCCAGCACCACGCTGATCATCAAGCGCGTGAGGTTGTACGTCGGCGTGCGCCAGTACATGCGGAAGAAGCGGCGGCACAGCAGCTCGAACTGGACGTAGCCGCTCGAGGCGCGCTTGTTGATAAACTTGAGCTCGGGGAGGTGCGGCGAAGGACGCAGCACGCCGTCCTGGTCCAAGTCCTCCTCCATCAGCACCTTCTGGTCGCTCACCAAGAAGCGGTCGGCAAAGTCCGTCGGCTGCGACGGGTCCGCGTTCGCAGCAGCCTTGCCACCTCCAACACCAGCACCAATACACTCGAGCATCCACGTGGCCGGGTTGTATCCGGGCTTGATCGGGTTCACGCCAGGGAAGGCCTCGAAGTAGCTGATCAGGTTCTTCGAGTCCTCGCCCAGCTCGCCGAAGAACACCATGCGACCGCCGCGACGCAGCAGCAACAGCGAATCGAACAGGTTGAACACCTCCGTGCTCGGCTGGTGGATCGTGCACACGATGGTGCGGCCCGAGTCGGCGATCTTGCGCACGCCGTTCATGATGAGCTTGGCCGAGCGCGCGTCCAGGCCACTCGTCGGTTCGTCCATGAAGATGATGCTGGGCTGCGCCGCCAGCTCCACGCCGATGGTCACGCGCTTCATCTGCTCCGTGGACGAGCCGCGGATGATCTTGTCGGCGATGGGGCCGAGCTCCAGCAGCTCGATGCACTCCTCGACCGACTCCATCTTCTGCGCCGTCGAGATGTTGGCGTCCTGGCGCAGCATGGCCGAGAAGATGAGCGCCTCGCGCACCGTGGCCGAGTCCGAGTGGATGTCCATCTGCTCGCAGTAGCCCGTGCATCGGCGGGTGGCCAGGTCGTTGGCCGGGTGGCCGTTAAGCAGGATCTTCCCTTGGATCTTGCCGCCGGTCTTCCGTCCGGCGATGACGTCCATGAGCGTGGTCTTGCCAGCGCCGGAGGAGCCCATGAGCGCGGTCATCGTTCCGGGTAGAGCGAATCCGGACACGCCCTTGAGCAGGTCGATCTGTTCGTCGTTGGCGCCGCCGGGCAGCGGTACCGAGTACCATAGGTCGTGGAAGGCCAGCGTCACGGGCACGGCGACACCACGGCCCGTGGGCTCAATCGGGATGCTGATGGTGGGGACGCCGCCGATGGCATCGTTGACCTCAATTGCGTTGTGCTGCTCCTTCGGGGTCGTCGGCATCTGGTTGTAGACCATTTGGTCACGGGCGGCCTGCTCGTCCTGCTGGACGATGGCCACGTTCTCGGGGCTCTCGTAGCGCTTGTACTCGAGCATGAAGTACGAGGCGAAGATGAAGACGAAGTAGCCCGCGATGAAGTAGATCCAGCCGTACCAGATCCACACGGAGTCGGTCTGCAGGTCGAAGACGCCGAGGCTGTACTTGCCCATGGTCAGGTTGTACTGCGAGCAGTAGTCGATGCCCTGGTAGACGCAGACGTCGAACTTGGAGGCCAGGTACTGGTTGATGCTCAGCGACCGGGTGCACCACGCGAGCGGATCCAGCCAATAGATCCATATCAAATAGTCCGGAATGTCGCCCTTGGAGATGAGGAAGCCACCGAACAGCATGAAGAAGAGCACGGCCACCATCATGAGCGGCTGCGCGATGGTCAGGTTGGGCGACGCGGCCGAGAGGAAGAAGAAGAAGCTCGTGAACCACATCTGGCACAGGAACAGCGTGGCCAGGAACTGGATGAACCGGCCCACGTCGTCCACGTAGCCGCCGAACCAGTACGTGATGGCGCCGAAGATGATCGTCTCCAGCACACCCAGCGGGATCTGCGAGATGGACGTGGCCAGCACGTACGCGCTCGAGCGGAAGAAGTTGGCGCCGCGCTGCTTGTAGAACACCGACCGGGCCTCGATGTACGTCGACACCTGCGAGGCTTGGCTCATGGACAGGAACATGGCGCACGAGAACAGCAGACCCAGGATGAGCTGGCTGTTGGAGTCGTCCATCTGCCAGAACGTCGAGCCGTACAGCAGACCCATGACGATGATCATGACGGCGCGGCCCATGAGGTACGTCGTGTCACGCAGCGTGAGCGTCACCTCGCGAGCGAACAGCGTCGACAGGTCCTCGGCGAACGTCTGGCGGAACGGCTTGAGGTCCGCGAACACCATCGACTCCTGCACGGGCGCGTCGAGCAACTTGAGCGTGGAGTGGAAGATGCTCGAGTCCTTGAAGCGCGCCGCGAACTCGT